CGAACTTCGCAGTGATAATGAGGCGAAGCTCCATCCAATTGAAGCCACATGTTGGTTCTAATATTGAAAGGGACCTCTTCTAATAATATTGAGAGATGGTTTATTAGAAACTGGAGACACATCAAACCATTTAGATGTCCTTCAAAAAAATAGGGTCCAATTAAAAATTGGCCCAGTATTCCACCCCACACATTAACTGACCACCTATTTTAATTTTTCATGACCCTGTATGCGCGCGGATTCGTATCAGAATAATAATGAAAGTTGTTAGACACAACTTTCATTGTGTGGTCACGTTCACGAGACCATTGTTATGAAAAGTACATTCATCACTAAATAACACATTTTCGAAAAACTTTTCATTTTCTGCCACTTTATCTAACACCCACATGCAAAAGTCAGTTCGGTTTTCAAAATCATTTCTTATTATCTCAATGGCGTACCATTTTTTTCTTGAGGCAATCTCTAAAAAATTGAAATCACTTGCACGGCAATGATGACCATAATATTGTCAGTTGCATGGCAAAAAATGCGCAATAACTGCTTCTTAAAACCCGCCAAATTTCATTTCTCTGTCTCGATCGGTTTCAGGGCAATAAATACATCGTCAGATTTAAAAAAAAATAACACCCAGCATGTCGAAAACGAGTTTCAGACGTACGAATCATAAGCAAACTGCCATTATTTTTTATGCAGAATCACCCCCTGAAAATTTTCGCACTTATTTACTAACACCCTGTATACATACAACAGTTATATATTTAATAATCAATAAGTTGCGAATATTTACATAAAGACGACATTATAAATGAATCCTTGATATTCAAAGAATACATAGGGTATCGAAAATCGAAAAATGCACAATACATAATTGGATTTGCGATAATATCCGAATTTCAACATTTCAGATGGGAAAATCGCCTTTCATTAGAATTATATTTCGCAACAATAAATTTATAAAGTGTCACCCGCAAGCCCCACAGGAGCAGTTTACAATTTATTAGTTTCATTCGTATGCGTGCAAATCACATCCCTTAAATTTAAATAGTTTTTGATAAAATATTGAAATATTTACTTGCCCGTGTTGAAGTGCAAGCTGATGCGAATATTATTTGTAAACTAATCCCACCTGATGAGAGTAATAAATTTGGATCCGGCAAACTTAGACATCTTTCGCAAAATATTTGTGGCGAAATCAATCCATACTGTTTTTCCAAACTTCTTTCATATTTACTATTTAATCTGTGGAGGTTTTATTTACTATATAATCAACTTCACAAAAACATGTGTTGTTCGCAGGTCTATTCAGCAGAATATTAAACGTTTAGTTCATTGCCATGTTTTTATGGCCACTTACGAGAGGCAATAAAGGTAACTTTATCTGTGGGTAGAAGGTGGAGCAAGAAAGTAATTAATCTATTAAATGTGATTTATTGTTTTTGAAAAGCAGGTTAAGTGGACAGTTATGCAGAAATAATCCTGCCCTTCCGTTTTCGAAACGGAAAACACAATTAGCTGTTCTACTTACAAGCAAAAAACATTAATTACATATGGATCGATGTTGCATTATGCAAAACTTAAGCGTAAACTTCATTGGGTTCACTGTAAAAATACAGTGAAAACACCAAAAGGTGGATGTTTGAATTATTCATTAGTTGGTACTTTTACTTTAATTTAATGTTTATAAAATCACTTAGTTGTGCAACAAACTACAATTTTGCAGAGTAGCAGAGGCTAACGTTGTTCTCACAGAAACAAGTATACCGAATGAGGTTTCACTTCATTACAATATGGTTTTACAATTAGATTAAAAGGGCTGAAAGTAGCAATTTTCAAAATGCTGTGCCAATTTGCTAGGTTTTTCGCTGTACAGTAAAACATGAAAACACGCTATGATCATCCTTTTATTATCCAAATAGCAACATTTACATGTGAAATTTAAATAAGCATTAATAGATAATTTCTACTTATCTATCACTATGTTTCACTGCAAAGGATCTTCGAAGCAGATCTACGGAGATAATTGTAATAATTTCCTAATTTTTAGATACATTTTGCAATTGATGGCACATATTTTCCTCATATCAGGAGCGAATTATCCTCCGTATTGATCATTCTAGACCATTCCACTTCCTTAGATTAGAGTGCTAGTAAACAGCTTTTGGTTAAGCCTTTTGCCCCAATTCTCGTCTCAAGAGTTCTTGCCAGTTTTGTTATATCACCGAAAAGATGTTTACTATTAGGTGTATATAATTTGACCAGTAATCGAGTTTCTGATTGAAATTGTGATTAATAAAAAGTTTTCCAAATCTTAGGACGTCTTTATGAACCCTTTTTTTGTTTGCTACATTTACATTTTAAGTTACTTCAGAGAATGAATAGGCGGCATAATAACCAATTAATTATTTTTATGCAAATAAAGAGGAATGGAAATAAAATGTCGAACTTTTTTATCCACACGGATACTGATCTCTAAAGGACTTGAAACAAAGCGGTTGTCTTTCCTTGCAAAATATTATACACGCTATGCTTCGCGGACGATAAGTAAAAAAATACTTATCGCACAAGACTATGAAGATCTGAACCACATGACTACAAAATACTCAAAAAATGCAGTTTAAGACTGAACCTCAGGAAAACATAACAATCCGCATGAGCGCAATGAGCAACGAAATACAGCGCGATAAAATAGTCAAATAATACAGATTTGTAAGACGTACATGTATCTGGACACAACTATATCACAAACTGGGTGAAGAATTAAGAAACAAAATAAAAAATAAAGACGGAGAAACAAGAAAGAGAAACCTTGAGAAAGATGAGCATTTGCTCTGTGAAATAAAGCATTGTGGGATAAAAACATTAAGAAATAATAAGAAAAGAATATATAACTTCCATAGCATAATAAATTACCACTCAGAGGGTCCGATCCTTCCAAAAATAGTATAGGAAAAACAGAAAAAGCAAGGAAGATTGGAAAGAGCTACTAACGAAAATGTGACAGAAATCCGGACGGAGGAACGAAACAAAGTGGAGGATATAGATGAAACAACTAATATGGTTTGAACACACGCAAAGAATGACAAGTACAAGACATCTGGAACAAATATTTTAAAAGCGCCCTGCAGATAAACAATGAGACTTAGTGGTAAATTGTGGGACAATTGAGAAGAGTGGAAATTAGGATCGCAATACAGAAAAAAACATGAAGAGCAGCGAAAAATAGAGTTACTAACCAATATGTTGGACAAATTCGGGAGGAAGAACGACCATGTTTGTAAATTCGAAAACATTACTAATTTAAAAATTTTGAGAGTTTGTTTCGAGTTGTTAAACATGTACAATTTTTTTCGATTTTAGTACTTTTATTTGATTAAACTTTTAAACCGAAAATATTTTATTTCCTGAAAATTTCGAATTCCTGCTTTTATCAGGTCATCAATAACTGTCTATCAGTTTCAAAATGTTTTTAACATTTTTCCAACTCCTAGGATATTGAAAATAATATATAAAAACAACATAAAACATTATCGTTATCATCAGACTATTATTGACAAGTTTTCAATTCCAAGATACAACTATAAAACAGTCTCAATTGAGGCAACAGGACGAAACTCTTTCGTCTTTTTATCGTTCAAAGTTTCGACTATCGACCATCATCAGACAATTAATGGCATTTTCTTCACAAGTCACTTTTGAAAAAAATTAAATAAAAATTTTCAGAAATGGAATTTAACCTGACAAGTTTCGGTGACAATTTCAATTCTGGCAGGTTTATCTTTCTCTATTAATTGAACGCAAGACTTTCATCAACAAAAGAGAAAATTAGTCAAGGTTGATAAGTAGGCAAATGTGCACATTACAACATTTGCAGGATTTGGTTGTTTATTGCCACGCAATTATTAATATTTTCTTAATTTTATGTGAAAAATTTAAGCTGCGTCTTTGAAGTCTTTGGCAAGCAATTTTGGAAAATGAAATAGGCAAAACATTAGATGAATAGGGTACTAAATAGAAAAAACGGTATGTTATAATTCTTTCAAGTTTCGCAGTGTTTAACAAATTTGTGTGAATTAAGAGTCGTTTGGCCAATATTTTATCAAGCCACTCCTTCGGATTCAAACAAAATTTAACAAATTTGTTTAATCATAAAATGTGGCCGTAGAAAGTGGACGATATAGATGAAACAACTAATATGRTTTGGACACATGCAAAAAATGCCAAGTAGAAGAGTTCCAAAATGGATCTTGTATAAAGAATGCTGCAGTAAACACATGTAAGAATGAGTTTAAAGGTAAATTTGTGGTACAATTGAGAAGTGTGTAAATCGGGTATGGACAGAGTTTTTAACGAAAATGTAAGGCAAATCCGGGCGAAAGAACGAAATAACGTGGCCGATATCCATGAAACTTCTAATATATTTTGAACATATGCAAAGAATGGCAAGTACAAGAGCTCCAAAACACATCTTGTAAAGAAACCCCACCGAGAAGACGTCTAAGAATGAGGTTTAAAGGTAAATTTGCGGGACAATCGAGAAAGTSTAAAGAAACACAGAAAAAAACATCGAAGAATGCAAAGAGTTACTGAAGAAAATGTATGACAAATCCAGGCGGCCGAACGAATCGATGAAACAACTAAAATGGTTTGTACACACGCAAATAGTGCCAAGTATAAGTCTCAAAGCAAGAAGTAGGTAGGTCGGAWTAAGGTCTAGAGGCRAATGCGTGGACAATTCGATAAGAGTGGAATCTGGCATTGCAACACCTATTAAAAATGTATATCTAACCATTTTAACCTTTTAGTCAGGTTTATTTTTGTTAATAATGTTTTTTTGGCATTGCAGGCCCTCAACAGACGCGTCATCCTCAACGTAGGAGGCGTGAAGCATGAGGTACTTTGGCGTACGCTCGATAGACTACCCCATACTCGCCTGGGACGATTACGCGATTGTAACACCCATGAAGCCCTTAGCGAACTTTGCGACGATTATTCGCTGATCGACAACGAATATTTCTTTGATCGACATCCGAAGTCGTTTTCCTCCATCTTGAACTTTTACAGGACCGGCAAGTTGCATCTTGTCGATGAGATGTGCGTTTTGGCTTTTAGTGACGATTTGGAATATTGGGGGGTAAGTAGAGTATCACGCTTACTCGGACTATCAAGACTTTCACGCCCAGTCCAAATCTGTTGAAAAGTCCAATTGTTTCCAAATTATACTTAGCGGAATATCATCTAGGCTTTTATTAGCACAACTGTGAAACACACTGGGTTTAAAAGCCGTGGATCATTCAAATTGCTTCAGAACGATGAGGTAACGGTATAAGCAGCCCTCGGTTTCTTTCTCCGATGGCTGATTCTCCAACTGGTGTTGTTGTTGTTTTTATACTACCCTCTCTCCACTGCGCTGCGCATGTCTGCCATTGTCCCACACTATCCCCACCACAGCTTCGCAAACACAGGATATTATAAATAAAGCAGTAGCACCAGTTGAAAAACCAAACCGTCGATTAAATAGCGATAAGAAGGGCAAACCTTGGTTGAAAAATATGCTCCAATAGTAGTTGAAGAACCAGTCAACACGAACATCGGTTATAGATTTTCTTCAATGCTATCAGCATTCTCATCTGCGCTTGAGTGGTAAAGTAAAATCGTGTTTACAAAGTAATATCTAATTTTGGAATTTAAAATTAAAATTCTTGCAATAATGGCCATTTATATATCATAATGGCAAGCTGTGTATTCTTATTGCTATAAAGAAAGGGGCGATTTCTTTATATACTATAACAGAAACTAATTTTAGGCTTCCTAATGATAACTGACACATTTAATAAATCCCTTTTGTGAATAAAAGCATATTTTGCGGACAACCTTACAATATCTGCAAATCAAGCTTTTTCGTCGTTTCATTTAAACCGTTCAAATCGGAAATAGGGAAATCTGAATCACGTCACGGTAGAATAACTTTTATAAAACTTCCGGGATTGCCGGAAATATCATTAAATTTGAATTTGAATGGAAAAATGATTTGGAGAATAAAATTTCTTCCTTGTTGCTTAAGTGATAGGAAATCTACTGAATTTAATTAATGAATTGAGCAAAAGTAAATCCTAAGAATAATTTACTTCTCTCGTTCAGTAGCAGCACCATTTAACATTCTTATGAGGAAAATATTGCACATTTAGTATAACAGTAGGTAAGCGAGTGTATTAAGTAAATCCAATTTTTCGTTGTACGGCCTTCGGAAGTAAATCGATGAAGAAAAATTCAGCAAAAGTCCCCATTTATCCGTGAAATTTAAATCCTGCCGGATCCATTAATAATTCGAAACATACAATAACTCATATGACACATTCTTGGGCCTGCACTTCACAACTCAGCAGGAAAACGATTTTTGCGGACGATATCCTGATATAAGTCTCTTAATTTGAACCGTCACTCTTATGTCTATAGACAGGTCGTATATTACGGAAATATTTAATAGAGCAGGCTGAAAGTGTATGTGTAAGTTAAACGACGATTAATCATCATCACACGCCACGTACATTAATAAGAACAAAATTTCCGACAACTACATTGTTTGTTGCCGATGCCAAAATGTATTATTATCTATTTTTTATCTACCCATAGATAATTAATCCCTTAACAGTGCTCAAACAGGAATAGTTGATGGGTGCCTTATCAAGTACTATTACTTGGGTTAATTGGGTATCGGGAATTCCTATAGATTAGATTTAATTTCAGATAGACGAACTTTACTTGGAGTCATGCTGCCAGCATAAATACCATCAGAGGAAAGAGCACGTTCATGAGGAAATGAGAAAAGAGGCCGAATCGCTTCGTCAGCGGGACGAGGAAGAATTTGGTAAACTTTTAATTGCATGAATATTTTCATGATAAACAAACTTAATTGGTCGTAGTAGAAGATTTCATATTATCAATAACGTATCTGAAGACAATAAAGCATTTGTGACTAACACATTCGATGGGAAAACTTCGTTACTCTGAGAATTTGTAGATAACGAAAATCCTGATTTCGGAAGTTTTATATAAAAATGGCAGCGCCTCGTAAAGGCTCAAACCTCTATAGATGGCTTCGAAAGAAATGTGGAAGAACATGAATCTTATTTTAGCAAGTTTTCCGGAATCTTATTCTGATTTACCATAAATTCCGGGACATCCTGCGCAAGCTTTTCCATGAATCTGCCAATACATTCTCCAAGCAGACTAAATATAAGTTTTCCAAGTAACTACAATGATCCACACCAGAGCAGTTGTTAATCAATGTATTTATCGCAGTTGTTATGTTTTTTCCTTACTAATCTTTAAAATGTAATCATCATTAAAAAATTAACAAAACAGTTTGTAAAACATAATTAATGAAACGTCTTTAAAAAGCAGACCTGAAAAAATAGGAAATTAAATAAAAATTACTGAGGAAAAACATACAAATGAGGACCCAATTAAATTTGAGATTTATAGCGCGGTAGTTATTTTGAAAAATAAATGTTTAACTACCTTGATCAAAAATGCAATGTGACATGAACGAACCATTAATAGGTATACAGAGTGAGTGTTCAAAGTTTGACTACAGATTTAGGGAGTGAAAACAGAATAATTTAACCTAATTTGCCTCATCCAGAAGTAGACAGTTTTCGAAATGAAAGCCATCAAATTGCAAATAAAAAATTGAATAGTGAAGTTCTCGCAGAAGTTTCTACAAGACGGCAAATAAAAATATGCAAAATTTTGCAAAGTTCGGCATGCTCCAAACTGGACAAAAATGAAGTTTTTTGGGGTCTCAACATCAAAAGTTCAAAGTTAAATCAAAAAGCTTGACCCGGTTTTTGAATTTTACGGCCACCTCTTTTGTTTACAGGGTTGTCTCAAAAAATCATCTTCTGGGTCTTGCTGCGATAACTTTTCTTTCTACTCTTGGTTAGATTTGCACGATCTTGAGCTCATGTTCAAGTTAGAACTTCATGGACAATTTAAGACAAAATTTGCTATACAGGCTTACATAAAAATTATCCAAATTCGAATTTCCCCCGAAATCTGTGATTCTGGAAGATTTTCAGCTAAATGAAGTTTACTTTCAAAAATGTTGTTCATTCATGCAACCAAGTAAAGGTATAGAACTTTTTTATAAACGACTACGAAGTTTTAGCTTCAACATGAGCCTTAGATTTGCTAATCGGTTCAAGAAGGAAAAACTGTCATTGCAATGCCAACACGTTTTTTTAAGACCATTCTGTAAATAAACGAGATGGAGCAAACATTTTTTCAAGGCACGAGGTCTATCTTAATGCGTGTGGTGTTGAAATACAACAAACAAACTGTTCGTTGCCCAAGAGCATGTGGAACTTTCAGCAATTTTGCATTGTTTTATTTGCCACCCTGTAGAAAATTTATCTGAGGCACTAATTTCTTGCAAAAACACGCATCAACCGAAAAATACTTGGACTAAATAGCGCTTCAAACAAAAATAGAATCGCTCGCAACAATCAGAATTTATCTAGTTCAAAAATTGGTCCAAATTTGTCAATGTAACGTTGATTTTGCTGATCAGTTTATTTGTAGGTACAGTTGAATATATCAAAAATTATTTCAAAATGCAATTTTAACGAGTAATTATTACACCACTTCTTAGTTAAAATTTAATTTTTATATAATTTACCACACCAAATATCTCAAGAAGAAATTTCTGTTGGAGCTTCTTCCAAGAAACGATTTTCAAATAAGAAATGTTTTCAAATACAACGCTGGTCAAAAATTATTGACATGAGTGAGTACATTACATGAGTTTTATTGCTCATTTCAGAAAAATAAAGCTTCAAAATCTCCTTTTACAACATCAATGTTTATTGTTTCCAAGAATGTTTGGACATAATCATAGCACAGATTGATGTTGAAGCAAGGTCTTTTGGCGAAAAAAGTTGATAGAAAGGTAGAATGTGTGAATTCCATCAAACTATTTATTGGCACCGAGTTTCTTCAAAAGTCGAGATCAAGCGTGAAACATTTCAATAATTTTCCATGACATTCAATAGTTGGTGTTAGTGCTTGTTTCTGCTTTTAGTATAATTTCAACAATTAGCTATTGATTTGCACCTACTTTGACTGTCTGAGAATAATTACTTTTCTTGTAATAAATAACAGACATTATTAATGTTCGATACTATACTTAGTTAAATATTTCAAGTTTTAAAGAACATATTTTAATTTATCACTCTAGAAGAATCTATCTCTTATAAGAATGAAGCCAATTTAGAAACTGTGCTTATTTTTAAAGAAATCTATCAAATACTTTTTAGATTTGGGGAAAACATGAAAATGTCTGCTTGGAAAAGTTTATCGCAATTTCTGGAAGGCTGAGACCTATTTAAAATACGTCAGAAGTTCAAACAGTTTTATCCTTTGAAATAAAGGCAACGAGAACACTGCAAAAGCTATCTAACATAATCAATCTAAAGAAAGAAAATTATTATAGTTGGTGCATATTTTTTATGAGGCAGGATAATTTACCCACTCAAATTATTAATAGAACTGCAATATCACTTACCTGCCTGGTGTACTTCATGATCTTTATTTCATTTTATATTGTTGATGTGATTTGTTGCTTTTCATAAATTATTCGCCTCATTTTGTTTCCATCAAAGAAGTAAAATTTATGTCTGCAGTTATTTTATTTTGTAGGTGAGGGTCAATGTTCTCAGTGGCAAAAATGGCTGTGGGACATGTTAGAAAAGCCGACAACTTCAATAGCTGCAAGGGTAAGTACGTAATCCTCAGATTAATTTATTGGCATGTGGCTATTAGCAAGGAAGATTCCGTATGATATGCGCAGATTAAGGATACTTAGCTAAAAGTTGGCTTTGGTACTAAGCTACTAATATTAACACAGAATATGACCTGCAATATTCAAGTTAGTATCAAATCAATTATGATTACAGCTACATTATGAAATTAATTAGTTATTAGCTAATGCTTACGAGTCTAGATGCCTATTTCCCATCTGCTTTAGAAGTTGAACTCTATAAATATACCTAATTTTTTTCTTATACACGCATCTTCAGATAATTGCAGAATATTAACGACGAGTTATCTGTGATTGCTAATATTTAGTTTCTACTTATACCTAAGTAGATATTATAGGTATACAGGCAATTCGATTAGTCGAATTCAAGTGCAGTGAAATAATGATAATGAATAAAGTAATCATTACAAGAAGCCTTTATTTATTGCTAAAATTATTTCTGTCAACTCTCTGAACTCTCTGATTGGTAACGCGTTCTGCTAAAAAGCAACGTTTTCTCTTACGTATATTGCTAATTAAAAGTGTAACTTGATAGATTGAGATGAGATTCTTCCTTGTTATGTTTTTTATATACCGTGGCTATTTAGTTCTTTTCAATAGGTATATTCGCTTTTATCACAAAATGGAAACAAAATTCACATAATAATGGTTACATTCTGATCCTATAAATTATTGCAATGCATTTGAGTTATTTTTAGTTTAATCATTTTTTTTGTGCCGATTAATGCCTTAGTATATATTTTTATTAGGACATTCGCATTTTAAATGGCACTACCTAAAAAGTAATTTTATTATTGTGTAGAATTTAAAAACATGCATTAATGATTTGAATAAAAGGTTGTCATTACCATTTGATAAGCACAATTAATATATTTTTATTCTATTTTGTTTTATTTATTTATTTATTTATAACATACTGGGCGATTTAATTATGTAGAAAATTAAACAAATTTAATTTTCTCAGTCTTGGTTAGGAAGTGCCATTTATCTAAAATGCTTTGCTACTTGCATATCTGTTTATATCTTTAATGCAACTTTGCCAATTACATGAATTTATATTTCTAGTTAATGTACAAAAATAGTCTTCTATAATGTTTTTGTGTAAATATATTGACTCAATTAGTCGAGGTGTTCGAGGGAACTTAACATATATTGTTGTGCCAAATAATAAAGGCATATATAATAATTAGTAAAGTTTAAATTGGATTATTATTTTAACTCAATGAGCTACTGGTAAAATCGTAAGTTGTTTTCGTTCAAGAATTGTCTAAAGAAATTTGCAGAGTCTGGAAAACTTCCAAATTGGAGATTGCTTGTTTATCGACGTTTTCACTTAACTTAGAAATATTGAAAACTGTTTTCGAGTGGACGTGGAAAAATCGTTTCAGAACAGCGAAGTTATTTCGTCTATAAAAAAGTAACAAAAGTTCCAATAAAATCATTACCTTTTTCAGTTGTATTGTATATGTATAATTGATAAAATGCAGATATTTTCTAAAGTTATTTTTACTTCAACAACTAGCCTGATTATTATAATTTCATATTAATGTTGTAATTTTTTAACTCGACTTACTTATTGGCAATATATTTAGGACTCTTGAAGCACTACTACTTTCAAATACGTTTTTTAACATGATTTGAATAGTCTGCAGGTATAAAAAGTCATGATCAATTTACTGTGAGTTGTAAAATTTTATTTTCTAATAATGCGTTTTAATTATAAGTCCAGCAGAATATTGCCTTTTTTGTATTAATCAAAACCAGGATATTTTTCTCACATCACATATAATAAATTTAATTTAAAGCCACCAGAACGATACATGATTCCGATACTCGCAGTCTATTCTTCAATGTTAATTAGCAAACCAAAAGCTAAATATATAGTTCCGTATAATTATATTTATATTTATTGTATCTAACTGATGTTTTAACATTTATTCTCATCTACATGTAAAGATTCATTAGCTTAAGGTCTTTTGTATACAAGTTAAATGACAATTAATTTTTGGGTCATAAATAAGCATGTTACTTAAAAATTCGTTTTCACGTTTAATTAAAGTAGTACCTACCAAATGGTGCTTAGCTTGAAAGTGCTATAAATGTACAATCTATTTTAGCTGGTATTATTGTAAACTTGCTTTTGTCCTGGCAGATCAATATGAATTTTTTAGTGCTACTAATACTTTTAACTTCATTTCATAAATACACCTGAAAGGTAGCGCTTATAAAAAAATAATTCATCTAAGTAGGACTAGTAGAAGCCAGTCGCATAATCGCTAATAATGTTAGTTGCTCGAAACCATGTTAGGTTTGCTTAAAAAGTTAACATATTTTCCAGTATAAAGCTTCAAACATGGTTCAACTGATATTCTGGAAGTTTTAAACCAATTGTTTTTGTCATTATTGATCGATTTGCATTAAAATATCGATTTTTGATAAGCGTTAATAATAGGGAATGGGTAAACGAAATAACCAGTGGTTCGCACCATAGAGCTCTGATTTAGAGCGTCAGTTATAATTGAGTCTTTTTGAAGATCACCAGAAGTGGATAGTCAATGAGACCACGTATAATTGACGACGAAGAGTTCTTGCTAATTGTACATTGCTTCGTATGCGTTTGAACGATTATCATCGGCTTATTTTCAAACTACATAAGACTAATGTTTCCATTTTCAGTGCAGCCTATATATGTACTGCTTGTGCTTAATGGGATAATTTATTTATACTTATTTATATTGTTACGCCTCTGCTTTATATTCCAAAAGTAAAAGTGCTTATTATATATTTGCGTTCCATCTTCAATCTTACTTAATCCTAGTTTACTAAATAAAATTATCAACCAGCAGCATTGATTTAATTATAATCCGGCAGACGTTTTGTACAATATCTGTAATTTCATCGAGGGAATAGAAAATTATCAAATCCGAAGCGATTTGCTTCTAGCATAGGTACTAAATGAACGAAAATGCTTGAGAGTTTTGACGAGTTGGAAGTTATCATTGCTGTTTCCTATTGTATAAGAATATTCACTTATTTCTTTGCTTTTTACCTCTGTTTTCTTTTAGTTTATTCTGGTGTTTTAGGAAAATTATATGCTTTATTTTTTACATGAGTTATTAAGTTTCTGACTCAAGAACTTATCGATATTGCTTACTTTCGTTTCGAGCTTATTCGGTAAATACTTCTTGCTGAAAAGTCTGCATTGAAATTAAGAGCCAAAAGCCAAATTTTTTTCTGTTGTTTTTTTTCTCATTTTGTTCTATTTGCTGCTTTGTCTACGCATATTGAGGACGGTTTTTGTCAATTTTATAGGAAATTTGTTTTCGATTTTTCACTCTATAGTGATACTTTAAGTGGATCATCATATTTCGCTCATTAATAAATTATCGTATTGAGTTTTTTTTTTAAATCTCCGGAAGTATTTTTATAATCGAGTAGTCTATCAACGAAGTTCTTGATCAAAATGTAATATCTCAAGTAATTTATCTCAACTATTTTTTGCATTTAGCCAATATTTTAACAAAGGAAATTTTATTGTATTAGTTATCGTTTCGTTATAGTATTTTCGATAAATGTATGGAAATAAATTGCTATTTTTAAATACTGAATGAAGATGGAACCACGCACTTACATATCTTGTACATATTTTATCTAATAATATTTAAAATATTATTAACAATTTTGTACAGATATGCATATGATCAATATCTGCTGCTAATATTCAATGAAGTTGGAAAATAACTAATTCCAATCAGTCTAATTCGCATTCATGTGTTTTACGTGTCCAAGAACTATTATTCAAATCTATCGCATCTTGGATTTACATTTCCTCAAATGCTGTGTGTTTGTTTAATTTATAATAAAACCGCAAATAGGTTGTGTAAAGACAGTTAATCTGGATTTAAAACAGCCATTTCGGTCCAAAATAAACATGTTTTTCAGTTATTAGAAAAATTTAGATTGTTGTTGTACAAAAATAACATTGTCTGTTCTGGTAACGGGTAAAGTTTCAACTTTATGAAGACTCGTTTTTATTGTATAAAAACACGTTTCAACGCTTCATTTGGGTCTTTAAGAATGCTACTTTTAATGCGTTGATAACGACTTGAAAAAAAGGGTTGAAACGTCGGCGATTATTGCAAAATAAAAACAGCTCTAAACCCGTTATCAGAACAGACAATATTAAGTTTTGGGGACGCTCATGTAATCAACACAATAATTTAAATATGGTTTTGTTATTGAGTCACAAATTGATTTCTGTTTCATGATGAATTTTATCAAACAAAATCTCCATTGCAGAAAATTTTCATGTATTTACGAGGAATTGTTTAGTATGGACAGACATTTACAAAAATTGACGCCTCCATTTCCAAAGAGATGCAAATCAAAAATAAAGATAAACATTTCGCGTTGTTAGTTCCCTTAAAAATTTATTATGGTTAGACACAATTTCTGTATTTCCCAAACGAGCAAAATTTAAACTGTGTGTAAGAGCCATCCTCCATTTGAGTCGGATGTTAGTTTCCTGAAAAGATCTTTGATTCCTAGAAAATTCGTTTGTTGAATAAAATCTTCTGTTGTTAGACCAAATCGTTTCCATTAAAGACAATGTAACAATTGTTCGAAACTATCTAGTTTTCCATCAAGTAAAAACTAAAGTTTTACATTCATTGTTTGATGGCTAACGTTTTAATTTATATGCAAACATCAAACAGGAAATTAACTACAAATAAAGCAAAACTGTAGAACTTTTGGGGTTTTAGGTCGTAGCATAAAATTTATTTCTGACGTTGCGCCAATACTTGGCCAATACAAAGGCTTGCACCTTCATAGAAGGTTTGTTCGAAAACCTTACACTCGAAAACAACCAGGAGAAAAATGCTTAAAAAATAAAAAAAAAACGATCTACTCGTAAACCTTAAGGAGATTCGATGCACAACTTTAAGCAAATATTCAGCATTCTGAAAAATGCGTCCTGTAAAGTACTTCATAGCAATTGAATAAATGTTCTTGGTTATTGGGCCGATCAATTCCAACAGAACTCATCAACAGTCCCCTAATTGTATTGCAGGTAATAGCCATCGTATCCATATTGTTTATCGTGCTCTCCACCATTGCGTTGACCCTAAATACGATCCCCAGCATGCAAGTAAACGACGAGAAGGGAAATTTCCAAGACAACCCTCAACTGGCCATGGTGGAAGCAGTCTGCATAACGTGGTTCTCCTTGGAGTACATTCTTCGGTTCAGCGCGTCACCGAACAAATGGAAATTTTTCAAAGGGGGATTGAATATCATAGACTTACTAGCCATACTGCCTTATTTTGTGTCCCTATTTTTACTAGAAACGAATAAAAACGCTAACGATCAATTTCAAGATGTCCGGCGAGTAGTGCAAGTGTTTAGGATAATGCGAATTTTACGGATACTGAAACTGGCCCGACATTCAACCGGATTGCAATCGCTGGGATTCACTTTGAGGAATTCCTATAAGGAACTTGGGCTGTTAATGCTTTTTCTTGCCATGGGGGTCTTAATATTTTCGAGTTTAGCTTATTTTGCCGAAAAAGAGGAACCCGGTACTAAATTCATTTCGATACCAGAAACTTTTTGGTGGGCGGGCATCACGATGACCACAGTGGGGTACGGAGATATTTATCCCACAACGCCGCTGGGCAAAGTCATAGGAAGCGTGTGCTGTATTTGCGGGGTGCTGGTGATTGCGTTACCCATTCCTATAATTGTTAACAATTTTGCCGAGTTTTATAAGAACCAAATGAGAAGAGAGAAGGCCCTGAAGAGGCGGGAGGCGTTGGAGCGAGCGAAACGCGAGGGCAGCATCGTTTCATTCCACCATATCAACTTGAGGGACGCTTTTGCCAAGAGCATGGACCTCATCGATGTCATCGTCGATACAGGTGGGTGTATCTGGATTTTTTTGCACGACTTTTGCTTATCCAAACAGAAGAAGAACATGCAGATGCACATAGAAGGAAAGTTCTATGGCTCATATTTAAATGTCGCAACAAGTTAATAAGTCATATTTCAAATTGTTCTTTTGCATTTAACTTTATTTAAAGGAATATTACTCTACAGTTCACTACAAAGCTCACTTTGGATGCAACCAAAGGAGTTTATGGAGATAAACTCTTCTGGATTTTTGAATTTTGAAAAAAACATAATTTAGTGACCAGGGCAAATATGAAATGTTTGCGACCCTTGACAGTTTTACTTGGACAAATTATAATTTTCGGGTTATTAGGCCACCGTCCAAAGGAATTTGGTGCCAACGTTTTGCTAGCTGACATGGCTGGCATCTTCGGAGAACTTTCGATTTTCAGTGCTTTTACTGGATTAGCAATGTGATCATTCTGGTGTGACTCGAAGCGAACATTTTCTGAAGATGCCCGCTATGCGTTCGAGCGAAACGTTATGACCAGGCTTTACAATCACACACAATCGAGATACAAGACACACATACAATACAAAGACACCACAATCTAAAAACGTAATTTTAAAAATGTAATTTTAATCATGCAAGGAATCTGTGGTGAGATTGTGATCAAACACCCTGTTTAATATTCATTGTGGATTCTGGGATTATGATCATTTAACAACAGGAACCATTTTGAACCTAATAACTTAATGTATTTTCAGAAAACTCATCAAAAGCGAATCTAATAGTTCTATTAAAATCGAGTAATAACACTGAAACCTGTTAACTATATGAAAGAACAGTATATTTTATTGTCGGTTTTATGGCGCATTTAGCATTTTATATAGTTTCCTGGATTTAGTTATTTTTGATTTGGGAACTTTCATTCTTCAATCGAGAATAAATAAACCAGTTTGTATGCTGTTTATACAGTATATTTCAGACAAATTCCCAAATTTGTTATTAACAAAATGTTTAAGACATATCTTATCATTAAAAATATTGGATAGTAAAATGATTTTGTTTTTATGGCGTTTTCAAATATCAGTAATAAAATATCCTTTTTATTTTTTAACATTTTCCATACTTTATAAAAACCCCAGGCAACTATTTCACATCCAAATGCTATTGATTTATGACTTTCTAAATATTGTTTAATTTTGCAGTTTTCAAATTTTAACTGATCTTGACTTATTTTAGCGATCACAATGTGTCTGAAGCATGTTATTCTTCTTGTTAATCGGTCACTAGTTATAACTCAACTAAACGTTGTTGTTGAAAAGTTGCCTTGAACTGCCGTAAATCATCTGAAGGTACAAAGAAACTCTAATGTAAGTGGCAGCGATTCATAGATCAAAAAATTCAGCGCTTATTTCGTTTCCACAAATATCCCTTATAAATACGGAGAAAGAGCAATGAGAAAAATCATAATTTATGAGAAAGAGAGAGTCGTGGTGTTTAAGGCGAGAAACTTTGTTACCAAGTGTCGCGATATAAATCAACGGCATAACGGGCATATTTTTGTGTGGCTTACGAAGATAAATTTGAACATATCTTTCATAAAAAAGGAAGTAGTTTAATTTCGAGAAATAGGACATGACCTATATTGATAATGCTTCAAGACAATCATTAAAAGTAGGTTGTTACGCAAGAAATCTTACAAGTGTAATTAATTTGAAGCAAATAGTATGCCGCCACAATATCCTGGACAAACTAGTTAGAGGGACACCAATTATTTGTGTGTCCGATGTCCAAAACAAGTGCAATTTTTCAAATTTACACAGGACGGTTTTTAATAAACATATCTAAAATATCGGAAGCGTATTAAAACTCTGTATAACTCGCATTTAATTATCATATATTAAATTACGTCTATAAGCAAATAGACAACGCCTAATATTCACGCAAATGCTGAAAGAAGCATTCAACTTGTGATACGATGAACTTGTATGAACTTTATATTTCCTGAATTAATGAGAAGCCATATAGAAACCATATTGAAAATAGATGCCTTTCCTTAAAAATTATATTTAAGCTTGCTTGTAGAGTTCCAGAAAAAGTAAAAACCCACTTTTTTTAATTATAAGATGATTTCCATATTATTTTTTGTTCCATTTTTGAATTTTACATTCATTGCTAGATTGGAAGACCTTTTTGGAGGAACGTTCTAATATAAATTATAAAAAGGTTTAGTCAGCACCAATATCATAAAATAAGTTCAGTTTCTTGACCGATATTGACTAATTGCAGAATGTTTGACTTTTCTTGGGAATTCGGTCTGGGCAGTGCTGAAGAAACCGAAAAACTTTTTTAGTTACCAAGCTTTCGGAAATTTATTGTCGCCTTCTTCAGGGTGCTAATTGTCGATAAGAAGGCCGGGAACTTTCCAGAATATTCTATCATTTTTTGTACAGCTTGATGAAATATTTAATTTTTGTTTTAGTTACATTGTTTGGTCATAATTTCTTTGTCATGGACTACACAAAACATTTATTCACGATCAACATGTTTTTCTGCAGAAATAACGAGACAGACTATATTAAATACAAATTAATTATGAACTGAAGACACTGTACAACTGAGTTGTACTGTTCTGGTTTTTACTGAGTTCCCGGCCTTCTTATCGACAAACAATTAGCACGCTGAGGAAGGCGACAATAAATTGCCGAAAGCTTAGTAGCTAAAAAAGTTTTTCTTTTTCTTCACCACTGCCCAGACCGAATTCCCAAGAAAAATCAACCATCCTGCATATCATAAAATGTTAAATTATTTAATTGAATAAATAATATTCAACCTAACGAACTCGGATGCGATGCGGATGAAGCTGTTGAAAAAAGTCGTGAATCCAGAAATTTAAGTTGTATAATGTATATGATAATGACTTGGTACTTCTTTATTTTCAATGGTTCTTAATTTGAAATCTCGAGCGCGTGATAAACATTCTCCATGTAGAAATTTTAAATTACTTCATATTTAAATCCTGGTATCTAGACTTTGATACAATTGATATTTATTATTATCCCTTTCCGTTTGCTCCCACGTAGTGAAATCCGGCGTGGTTTATTGGAAAACAACATTGATTATTATTTGAAAGTTCTTAGTTATTTAAAAATTCACTGCTCAGGTCAATTCTATTGAAATTTATACTTGGTAACGGGTAATTTTTTTTAGCCATTAGCTTTTACAAGTCTGGGCGAAATAAGAACACAGGAAGCGAAGCAATAGAAAAATGATCGTGTAATCTGATATTAACAAAACTAACCCGATTGTGCCATTATTTTAGTTAACTTTTGATCATATAATTTATTCGATTGTTTACATGATAAAAATCTGGATAATAATCAAGATAAAAACTATTTTCAAATTATTTAAAAATGTAGCAGGAATACTTTTTGCAAAAGGAGAAAACAATTTTATGTTACAAAATTATTCAGTTTTTAAATCGCTCGAAAAAGCTCGAAGATCAACTGGAGCATATTTTTTTTAATTAAAATAATGGCCTTTTTAACCAACGTGTGCTTGAATTTCCCTTTTAAAGTGTTTGGCTTTTTAACAAAATTCTTGTAACGCCATCAGCATTTTTAATGTCTTACACTGTGTTCTTCTTCAGGTGACAAGTGCGCCCTGATTGGCGGAAACGATGCTTCCGAAAAACACTTGTAAGCGCGGACCCACTATGCCCTTGCCTTAAGCTGTTGGTCGGAAACTTACCCCACTTCTCAATGGTTCACACTGATATGTAAATAGAGAGTTGTTTAATAGTTGTTACATACATACGTATACCTACTTAATGTACTCGGTAAAACGCTTGAATTATTTCTATTGTGAATTTTGTCTGTAAATAAAGCTTGGATTTTTACACTTTGTAGTTCAAACCATTTTTCAATAGTTCAACAACTGCAGCAATTGAGTATTTTAATTGGGTTTATTGCTTCGAATGCAGAATGCATGCGGAAATCCAGAATATGACTGAAAAGTGCGCCGCACAATCAGAATTTGAACAAAAATTTTGAGCTTAGTGGGAAACTAAAATTTCACACAGGTGTTATAACAGGCGACTAAACTATGCAACTCTGTGCTAAAAGCAAAGGCGCTCAATTTAGCTTAGGTTTAGTCGCGAAATAACTAGATAGTGTTTTATTCCATGTTTAAAGTAATGTTTTCTTGGAGACTTTTATAAGCTCCTGCCAAATTATCGCTGATGAAAGCCTCTAGTCTCGGAGAGTAGTTAGTGTTAGTAGACTAGTCTACAGTTGAAGTATTTTCCAAATTGATTTTCCCTTAGCTTAGTCCGGAAAAATACATGGAACTATCAAATAACTATAAAATTCTTGAAACTTTAAAACAATAGAACCTATATTTTACAAATTAGTTTAGACTAAAACGAGTAGCTAAGTTAGACGCAGCCTAGTGAAATTCAAAGTTATTACTGAATGAACAAAATCACAAAGAAACTCAAAAGACTTGCTTCATAGGCTCGGATAAACAGTTAGATTTATCGTAGCTTTAACAATATAGCAGTGAACGAAAAAAAACTGTTCTAGTTAATATCATTAAGCCGGTTACTCCATATCAGGTAAATTACCAGACTTTGTCTTTAAGTTGTCTTTGACTATTTTCAATTAATTTAAACTCCTGTGCAGGTCATAATGCAACGCAAGCAGATGGGAACAGTGAAGGCGATTCTACAGGAGGAGGAGGTATCAACTCATCTGAAACAGGTGCTGATTGCTACAAAAACTTCGAATACTTTCCAAATAGAGATAGGAGCTATTCTTCCACGACCCCTTGTCTTCCTACCAGCGATGTAAGAATCGTTGATTTACATTTTATTTAACTGATCTAGAACCGATGGATTCCAATGCTTTAATTATTGCATGTTGAATGTTTAGAACGCTAATACAACTGCTGCAGAAAATATGAATATTTGCAATCATTATTAATTGGTGGTAATTTTTCAAAGGGTCCTCCTCCTCCGTGTACGCCTATAACTCATCGACGACATCTTTTGGATACGAGCGGTTCAAATTCGCTGGATGAAGAAAGATGTTTGATGGCACCGTTGGCTCAGGACGAAACGCAACTTCTTCCTGGGTCTCCTATGGGATACATGTCTCCTTCTGTGAGTTGTTATACATTTCTTACTCATTACATTCAATAGAGGAGATTCAAATTGGGCGTCAACCCTTTTGAGGGCCATTGAAACCCAGTCGGAATATACAGGGTGTTTGCTGACGTATGCTGCGAATAGGTCGCTTGCCATAAGTAGTACAAGTAATTTTAAACAAAGTTTCTTGATATGAAATACTCCGAAAGCGAAGAAATGTTTACACCAATTCAAACCTAAACACATTTTCAATTACAGATAAACTATTCTACCTGCACTTGAACTGAAGCAAAAAACAGTAAAACTTAACAATTATGCAAAAATTGTATAAATAAGTTTTATTTTTTAACGCGTTTTATGCGTTTATCGTGCAAGTAAAATGATCGTAAACCGATTTAAAGGTTCTTGTTTCGTAAGTAGCTCATTGCTTTCCGTATCAAATATTGTAGACTTTTAAGTCGGTTCATAAATTTCTGCAAAATATTTTTCTTGGTTATTTCGCCATAACATTTTTGTCTTTTGAAACATAGAATTTTCTCACTTCTTTTCACTTTTTCTATTTCTTATTGGTGCAGTTAGTTCACAATAAAGACCGAATTCTTTATCTAAAGATAATCAAGAGCTATCACCTAGAGGGAAGGGTATCCTACTTCAATTTTAAAGAACGCACAAAATTAAATATTAACACTATTATTGAACAATATATTTATACATGCGTTAATACAATATATTTATGGAAAATTAGAAAAAAATTGTTATCAATTTAAGCCAATAATTTGGTGGCGGTATGTTGAACAATATTTTCAATTTATCAATGGGTCATGGGAAACAAAAACTTGGTGATTTTTATCATATCTGAACAATAAAGACTCACCGATTAAGTTCACTATTAAAGAACAAACCAAAAATACATCAAAAGAAACAGAAATATACTAGTTATGAAAAATTTACACAATTTCGAAACTTCGAATTTATTCAAATTATCCAAAATTTCTTTTTGGCAAATGTTTTAATGGAATTGAAAGTCCAAAATTAAAACAAAATCAAAATGAAGCCATTACCAACCTTTTTATTCTATTTATTCCGGCGATTTCAGATGGAATAAAACAACTATCTTTAAAACTTAAAATAGAATTAGAAGCAAAATTTCAAAAACAAACTAAACCTCATGGAAAAATTTAAAATATATAAAAAGTAATTTAAAAAATTCCTTACCGATGTAGTAATTTTTTTTCTTAAACAAACATATTTCAATGAAATAAAAACATTTTTTGAAAAACAAAAATTCGACTTTTCACATATTTGTATTTATTTAGCATTGTTATGCCATTTATTAATATGCTCTTTTTATGCAGCTTTTGAGAACGGTAGCAAATCTGCTAGCGTCAGGATAACTTTTCTAAATACATTTTTTACTAATTGCATTTTTTCTCTTACTGCTTGAGCCACAGTGCGTAGGATACTTTCTAGGTGATTAATTCTCAATTACCTTTTGATGAGGAATTCGTTCTTTATTGTGAAATAAGATCACTCTTTATCCATCTGTAATAGAAAACGTGAGAACATTCTGTTCTTTTAAAAGACAAACATTTTGAGGAAAAATACACACAAAAAACGTCTTGAAAGCATAAATTTACCTCAACCATATAGAACTTATCGGTTTATAAAGGCGAATTAAAAATTCACCCATAATTTTATGGTATTACACCCATAAAATCAAATATATGGCCATATTTCATTTTCTGTATGATATAGTTTGTTAAAAAAATGTCCATTCTGCATTCAAACCCTGCCAAATCAGATATAGTATATTTTATGAAATGAGAATGTTTATCAAATTTACACAATATATTTTTGCCGCTCATTGTATTATAATCGTTTTGTTTTGGTTACCATTCGCGGTGCTTTGAAAAGGACCATGTGCCAGAGAGTTCTGGAACTGGCATGAATAGAAACGCAACAAAACTACAAGAATGGAGAATGGTTGAAGAGATAAATTCTTTCAAGGCTTTATCAATTAATACATATAACACTATAAACATTTTATTTAACTGTTTTTTACTTTTGTATTTGCTGTAAAAAGAGAAGGTAGTAAAAGAATAAGCTGGCAAAAAAATACATTTTATAGTGCTCGATCTACCACACAAGTTTGGTTGGGACTTATTTTCATACCGTTTGATCACCTTCAGCCAGAAAGAGTTTATTCAATGGCGTTGATTATAGAACTAGATCCAGTTGCATAAAGCCTATTTAAACAAATAATTCTAAGGAAAATTATTAAAGTTTAGCCAAATTATTAAAAAGTTAAAGACTTATTGAGCAGTCTGCCAATTAAAATTGAAACTACCTGAAAGCAGCTTTATATATTTGCATTAAGTTTAGCTTGAATTATTCCTTTGCGTTCAGTCAAGATGTCGATTTGGAAATATATTTATTTGTATTCTTGTATGATTAAGCTACGAAATAATCGCGTTTGTTTTGTTATTGGAAATAGTTTGAAAGCCGAATATTAGTTACCGTGCTCGACAAAATATGGCTATTATTATACTCTAGTAGCCGATTAGTAAATTGATTCATACGCTATTAAATTGTATTATATGAATCGTTTTATAGAATACGTTCATAAAGGAAACTGATTATCTATCAATAGCCCTTATTGAAGACCGCAACCCTGTTGAACGAAATTTCACAGTTATTTTTTTGAGCGGTTATCATTTTCTTTGCAAGTAATCTTCGTTTTTAGTTTTTATTTGTGCTCCGTATCGTTTATTTTTTGAAATACGGAACTTATTTCATTTGACTAACATGTAACGTGGCCATTAGTATAAATTAATCTATCGATCCCATTTAATCTACAGGTGGGCAGCAAAACATCCGACAAAAGGACGACAGAAAAACTTGAGGAAATGCCGAACGAATTTGAATGTTGCTTTTGCAATACTAAGGTAAAGCTAAATAAGTCATCGTTAATCATTTGTTAATTAGGAGATTTAATAAAAGCAGTTGAATAGCTCTTAAAAGTTGAAATTCGGGATGCTTAATAAACGCAGAGGCTTCCATTAAAATTATAAATAAATGTGCGTGTCTTGAATAGAGACTAGTTATAAAACAGGTTGAAAATGTTGACTGTCAGATTAACTTGTTTTATTTCGCATTTAGATCTAAACAGCTAAGGTGTAGGTATAGTTATTTTTAGTACTCTCTGATTTCGTAGAGTAAATATCTAAATTTAGTAAATAACAGTCATGATATTAATTTTTTTTGTTTTATACTCTTTTGTGCTTCTAAAGTTCTGTCTAATTTTTTGTCTATGTTGCACAAGTTTCAAATATTTTAGTGCTTATATATATATTTAGAACTACAAGAATTTTGTCGATGCTGAAAGTCTGATGCCGCTGCCTACAAGCGATTTTCGAAAACCCGTTTGCATGGAAATGAAAATGTTGGAAATGGAAGCAATGCAGGAAAAATCCAGCCAATTTCTCTATGAAACGTATGCTGAAGAGAATGCTGTACCTCCACCTCGAGCGAATGGTGGTGATTTGGCTAGTATGGACAGTTCGGACACTTTCGCGACTTGCACTACGTTTCCATCTAATTCTCAGGTAATTCACCCATAATGTCGCAATATTTTCGTTGGGCTAAATTTATTACAGCTCAACCAATTGTGTAATTATGCGGAAGTTGGAATTTATTTAAAATAATAAATTATTTTTCAACTTGGAAAATGTTTTTATTTTGTCTGCTGCGACTTTTAGTACTTCAAGACTACTATAGTTTGACCTCAGTCTAATTTATCTGAAAAGATTAATTGATTAGCTACAAAGTTTCTAATTTTATATATGTTGACCTAATCCGGATAAGCTCTGGCCTGTCTTTATTGCACTTGTATTATTCGAAATATTCATTATTAAGAAATCTAATTCAAATGAAGAGGAGCATTTTGCGCATCTATGCTAATCTTCAGCTGAATTCAGTATATCAGATCATTAATCTTAGAAAGAAGTAACTTTATGTTATTTTCTAAAATAAAACCAGGGAAAATTTTCCTAATTTAATTTGAAAAGGTTGCTGAAACTGTTGATACGAACATGGCTTATTTTAGAATCAACAATAGCACTGACAGGTGATTCTAAAATAAGTCATATTGTTAAAATAAATCTCAAAACATTTGCTGCAACATGCAGTCGGTGTAAACCCCTCTTTGCTCAAGACATTATAGTACAAATTTCAGCCAATGTGAAACCATTATAATAAAAACCGCACTTTCTGTACTGTACTAAAGTAAAATTTTCACAATTTTTCGAATAAAAATATATGTCTGATGAAATTCTGGGTCTCGCTGGTATTTAAAGGAATGAAATTTTAAAATTTTAGTTATTTTCAGGGATCATATATTTCGTTATATCAATATTATATCGGGAAACTTGCTGGCAAGATCCCCAGCCAAGGAGATATGTAATGCTCAACTCTTAATTTTCCGATTTAGGAAACAGAATTTCGTTTCCTCCCATATAAAATTTAATTTATTCGCATCCACTGTGCTGTTTTGTTGATTTTCAAAGTTTCTCCGGTAAATAAATAAATATTTATTTGGTTTACTTTCTGTCCGTTATTTTATTTTTACTCTTCGTTCTGGGATTCTTATTGCTAGACGAGAAGTTCGCTGAATGACTATTCGTTTTATTGCGAAAAATATTAAAACGTTTAATTGATCTACTACATCATTTAATAAAAGAAAATAGACAACTTCAGATTACGCAGGAGTATGTTCTAATGCATATGCAAATTGTAAGTTTTATTTATAACTAACAAGTTATGCCGATTTTTCAGCAGTGTACAATAGATGTTCTTATTGTCCAAAGTTTATTATATTTTTTCAGTCAAATTTCTGAAAGTATAGAAGTTGCAATGTTTGGAAGTATTAATTTTACGGAAATATTATCGTTTCCCAAAAATAAAATCATACATTGATAATCTCTTATTTAAAAATAAGAACTATATAAAATTATTCTTCGGACAAAGTGCTACAAAATAAGGAGACGAAATAATGTTCGTTTATACTTAGTTCTAGTACAAAAAGCTCTTTGTTTACTCAATTTATTTTATTTAATATTTTCCGGATCTAATTAGGGTTTGCTGGAAATGGAAAAGCTGGAAAATCCCTCATTATTACAAAAGGGATTAAATATTAAAACCCCACTTAAGTTCGTATACATTATTTATAAATTACATACATTGTATCGAGAAATATAATTTATAATAAATATTCCGATATGGAATCACTTGAGCAGGGTCTACCATGGAAAATGTGTTTTTGCGTAAAATCTATTAATGCATATTCAAATTTAATTAAACCATAACAAATACCGGCTGCAGTAAAAAAAAACTTGCTGTTGCCCATATTAAGGTTTTTCATGCAGAAGCACTCAGACAAATCAAATGTGAATGCAATCCAGTTAACAATAACTTTTTCTTAAATGTTAAAATGTTTTTTAAATAAGAGCTGCAAAAATAGAGCAATTATAATTTTTTAAGAAAGCTGGAGTGTTGAAAATTGAATCGAAGGRACGCAAACTAATAAACGTAATAACTGCTTTTTTTTAAGTATACWTTTATTTTCCAGTGTGAAAGTTATACTGAATTAGAAGTATATTACTGTGGTTTTGTGCTAATTTTGGGACCGAYCTCTTTCGTAATATGATTATTAAKTAAAAAACGAAATATTATGGCATATGTATGTATTACTAAAATCGCGTTAAAATTATAAYAAAAATATGACAAATATTTCATATTTTTCAAAGTAGTAAATATATTTAGTRAAATAAATATATTATATAAAAGCGTATTAAATCGATGAGTATTTTAATTTAAATTCACCATCAACATATATCAGTTTTGTTTCSATAAATTTTATCAAATGCCCAATAGTAGCAAAGAACAGGGCTTCAAATGTGGTTTGTAATGTAATCATTTAAAGTATTTAAATGAAACTGGAAWGTTGAAAATTTAATTGAAGGCACGCAATGCTATAAATGTAATATCTGCTTTTCTTTAACTTTTATAGATGATGTTAAAATTAATATATACTTATAACACTTCATGATTGTCYCTGAATCAGTAATAAACTGCGTTCTGCGAGAAGTTTTCGAAATACTTTSTCCGATATTTGCAAGCCATAAGCCACCACTACTAGAAAAAACAATTTTCGGCATTTTTACTCCCGCAAAAAGTAGTGATTAATGAGTTCTTCTAATTTAAGTGTTTTACAGCGTCAAGGTTGTGTGCGGCTGAAAATCAATTTCAAATTAAGGAAATTAAATTGCTAATTTTGAACAACCGCATATAGGAAAAATCGAGGAATCCATCACACATATGTTTGATTTCAGGCTGATCTTACGGCAGATATTTTAGACTCAACATTGCTAAACATGGACAGCAACTTGTACATAAACCCGCTAGATAAGTCTTTAGAAAATAGCCCCGCTATACCTCCGATTCCATCGCAAAATCAAAAAATATCCGGCGTGAAAAAATCTGCAAGCGGTGACACAGCTCTGAGAAGTTTGGGGTCTACACCACTTGAAGAAAAAGTTGGCTTCCGTCCACTGCAGAATGTTGGCGATAGAGGAAGCAGATCTAGTTTAGATGGATCGCCTGGACCCCGGAAACAAAAGACTCGGTTCCAGGTACGACTAATTTTCTTTTGGATTTTTAGCAGATTATTTTACGTTGGTCTGCTTTCCAGCTTCACAAGTTTTCGGCAAAAGAGGCGGGATTTTTTTTTCAAATTCCAAGGCCCCAGTTACGGACAGCAGAAACTCAACGCAGCTCTCAGGATAGTTTAGAAAAGCGCAACAAACAGGGCTTTGCTCCTGGGAAAGGCTTGGCTTCAGCCGCTCGAATTTTGAACCATCATCTTTTTGGGGATAATCCAGGAAGCCCAAGATCAGGTAATGTTATAGACTAGCCGTTTCTTTAAAGAAGGACTTTCGGTACACCTTTAGGATACTAGACAAGTGGACAAATTATTTCACTTAGATAAAATAAATTTCACAGGGAGGAATAATACAAGTAAATCGTCGCTCTCAGTGGACTCGATCGATAGTCGCGAAACTGCCACCCCACAAAAGGAATCCAATAGAAAATCGAGATCGATCTTGAAGAAAGCTGATAGTTGCGGAAACGGGCGTGGACGAGATGTGGATCCTGAAAGCGAAAGACTTCTCTCGGATAATGGATCAGGTACTTATCAATATTTCTTTAAAATAATGATGCACTACGGAAAATCTTGGCAAGTTCGGAATAAAAAATATCCATTCTGAAAACACTATTTCGGGGTATATATTTTAAAGAATCATACAAAGAGAGTCGTCTAATGAATGGTACTTGATTAGGAGAAATGCATCTAAAAAATATTTTAGGCATATTTGATCTGTCCAATTATTCGCCCGTGCCTCAGCTTAATAAGCTCCAAGCCAAACGCTCAAAAATGCAATCATCAGCATATCAGCAGGAATTGGACCGCACTAGAAGTTTTAAGTCCCAGCTTTTGCGGCTGGAGAATATCGTCAATAAGCCAAGTGATTCTGCCCAAATAAATCAGGTAACTTTAACAGCCAAATAAAACTAATAGAAAAAAATTAAGGTAAAAAGCAGAATTTGTGCCTTTTTGTTTGTAGAAGAATTTAAATTTGCAGTCTGAAAAATTAGTAAAAAAAAACATTGAATAGGAAAGAGCATTACTTTTTAGGCTCCGTTATATATCTGCCCCCCACCGCCTCCCGTTGATAGTGTTAACTTTTCCCCAACTGAAGAAACACACCTCCTCTCAGTGTTGGGAACTCTGGACACGATGTCCTCTTCTCAGGTGTCTTGCCACTATAGGAATGATGGATCTAATCCGACAACGTAGCATTTAAAGGTGAGTATTCACATATTGGCTGGTACTCAAGATGTTTAAGAAGTCTTCATATGTAGTTATACAGCGGGTGTTTTTTAATAAGTGCGCGATATTTTACAGGGTGATTTGTCAGCAATTTTTAAGATAAAAAGGCCTGTGTTCTCAAAGCCTCCATGAGCTGTAGTTTAAATTGCGTTTGTTCTAAGTAATTTTTAAATAATATCGAAAATTGTAACGAATTTGTATTCGGGGGTTTTGTAACATGAGAAACTTAAAATTGAATTTTGTTTGGCTCTTACTTGTAAAGGATACTATATCTAGATGTATTTTTAATTTTTGCAGAGACATTTACCTTTTTCGGACTTGATGGTATCACATTTTTAGCTCGAAAGTTAATTCTTCTATTATTTTAATGTAAGCATAAAAGGTATTACTATTAAAAATCGCTACAACAACGGTTTTCAAAATGTTTTGATTTGAATTAACAACATCAAAGAATTGATTCATTAAAATAATCAACCAATACATTCAGAGTATAGTAGAGTGCTTAAGTACTTACAAAACCAAAAATTATAGTTAATTTTTCAACGCCCTTGAAGAGAACTTTTACCTTTAAAATACCTGAGGAGTTGCCCGGTAAAATATCAGACACTTATTAACAACATCCTGTATAAGGTGATTAAAAATTGGCCTATTTTTTCGTCAACCATTATTTTCAAATGGTCAATGTGCGATTAGAAGCCTGTTGTTGAAGTGTGAAATTGCAGTAAACAGTTGCGACATTTACTTAAATATTAGCTCTAAACTTCGCAGCATTTAATGGAGTTCTCACAACGGATGATTTTAGAAATAAAAAATTGCGTAAGAGTTGTGAGCCTAAAAATATTTATTATTAATTCGAGTGTAAGTTATAAAAATTATAAAACAAAAACCTGATGGAAGCAGCTCTAGATTCAAATTTTATTATTCAGAGAATAAATAACAATCTAAATAAAATATTAGATTAACACAAATTAAAATAGTCAAAAAATATAATTCTATTCAAAAGTAACTTTACGCAATTTTTTTGGATCGCCTTTCAGACTACAAAAATTGAATCTAAAATGCCTCTATCTAAATCTAAAAGTACCTAAGCTGATTTTTTAATTACATATACACATCCGCAAAGGACAAACTGGATAAAGCGTTATAATCCAAACGATTCACATAAAGTTGCTTTTGGAAATCTTTTTGCTTTTTTTAAATTAAGATTGTTTTCTTTCCTGGTTTGAATTAAATAAATTAATTCAAATAATTGAAGTATTTTTATCGACGAAAATTTTCACTTAAAAAAGGTTTATACACTCAACTAAGATTGTTATCAGGTAGCGAAAATAAAATTACTTCTATCATAAGATGGTGAATCAAAAATACCATTTCTAATCAATTTCACCACCGACAGATTTTGTCCCGACAAAAGCCTCAACGCAATAGAATACCATCATGGTACTCTTTATTATAAAACATTAACGGTAGCACGGTCGAAAATCCTATCAACTCGTAACAGAAAGTCATTTTCTGCCTCATTGATGTAATTTTTTCAAGGATTTGGAGGGCAATTTGCCAGATATAAAGATCGCGCTTTACTTCAAGGGAGAATTTCAAACATATAAAGGATTTCTATGTGCACGTTTTCCGCCTTACAAAAAAAGCAAAAAATGAATTAAAGATCATTCGAGAAGTTTATGATATTGTGAAAATTAACTAACTGAGACCGAATAAGGGAATTCCTCAAAAAGTCCTGAATATAATATATTATTATTTTGCAAACGTCTCATTTTTAAGAGAGGATAGCTCCAAAACACTTTTTATATTAAGGTACTTCCTAAACAGGCCTCCGGAGAAAGTGCGCAATTTTGAGTAACAATATTTTAATGACTTCTCTCTAACTAGGGTTTTATTTTCAAATAAATTGCCTTCTTTTTCCAGTGGAACCAATCGACCCATAGTCGGCAAAGTTCATCAAAAACGTCAATTCTAAAACAATCTGTTGTATGGTTAATTAAGTAACATTTCCCAATGGCGCAACTAATTTTTCCAAATAAATACGCCTATTTATCAATCAAGATTGTTTATTGTTACTACGTTACTATGAATATAGGGATAAATTGAATAAGAAAAAAAAATGCATCGTTATTACGCCACTGGGAATGTGGGTAAGGGTTTGGGTGTGCCCTTTGTGCAACAAGTGATATCGTTTGGATGCAATATTGAGTGTGCGAACAAAAAAAAACATGAGCAATAACGATAGAATATATGGGAAAACGAAATTAAAGGAAAGTATTAAATAAGCGCATAAAAGTGATGTTGCCTTGCCTGCTGACTTAAAATTTAAATCATCGTACAGTTTTAATATGTATAAACGCATGAAAATTTTAAAAATGTTTCGGCTCCACAGGCCGCATAAGAAGTCAGGGAATATCTTACAAAACTATAAAATTGAAACAGATTTCTCTGGTAGGCAATTACGCTTCTCTCTCTTTACGAATGAGGCATATATATGCAAATAACTGCTTGCTTTGCCCAAGACCCTGCCATTAAACCATAGTCTTGTTCATTGCTCAACATGAAATGGTGTTGATATAGTTAATATTGCCTTGTCATTATTTTCTGATAAGAATACTGAATATTTTTGTGTAAGACTCGATTTACTCCTAAGACTAATCACCTAACCAGTCACTGCTGTAAGAGACTATCTAAATTAGAAAATAAATTAAGCAAACAAATTTATATTGTTAAACATGCTTTACGACATAGTACCTAAAGTATTTTTTCATAAATTGCTATAAAAGTCCATAAAATTTAAGTTAGTAACCATTTTTTATCTACGGAAGTAAATAAAAACCCGTAATTATTCACGCAATTTACATTCCGAAAAGTGATATTTAGAGATACTTTAAAAGTTTTTGAAGATAGAAATAATTTTAAAACCAGACAGGAAATTGTAGCAAACTGTATGCGTAAAATAAAAGTTATTATCATTTTACTCTGAGCTAATTAGGTTTCAATGAATGGATGGACATTTAGATAAATGGATGATACTTTTAAACTTATGTTAGAGACAATGACTGTAAATTATAATTAGTTTTAACATTCTGCACAGTTACGTTTTAAGCTAAACTATATTCGAATTCCTTATCAGCGACTATTTTTGTATAGGTTTTTTACAATTTAAAAATAAATATTTTTGTAGAGCAACGCTGAACTGGTAACCGTGCGTTCTGTAGAAAGTTCTGTGAATTGAATTTTTAACATCAGTTTCAGTGAAAAATATATATTTTTGAGCAAGCTTTCCAATATGAGCTATCTTTTCATTTAAAGTTTATTTCCTTATTAAATCTAAGCTTACCCTAAGAGTGAAATTAAAGTATTCTTATTTAATACAAGTTACGCTGTGATTTGTCTAAATAAGCAAACTTTGGCGGAAATTATACTTTTTTCCAGCTGATGAATGATAAATCTGCATCAGTAGGAACTACAATCGTTATATACTAAAACATATTTTTTTTTGTAGTTTAGGTTTATTACATGGCAAGCAAGGCAACATTTTAAAAGCCCAATCTAGCACGAACTGTATATATTAAATTATATGCTCTGAAATCACTTTTATATCATTTTTTTAGACATTGTTGCGGTTGTGGTTCGAATTTTAGATATAATAGAAAGATTCGAAAATTGTTTATTTTGTATCAATTCGGCTGTGGCTTCAATTAACGTAATAAACAAATTCATCAATCTTTTACCAACCCCTTTTTTGGGACTTTCCAGTATAAGCGTAGCATAAAATCATAATAAAATATTGGGTATCAAGCAGGATAAATAAGATTATTTAAAATATTTTCTTCCTACGAATGAAAGAGTTTTTCATATACAGATCAGTTATATTATGGAAGCTACAGCGGAATTGTACGTAAGAGTTTGACTAATTTAAAGGGTGGATCATGGTATTCATTATATTACAATTTCTTCCACAAATGCAGGTTTGAGTGTACGTATTCAAGACATTCATTGACCCAGAGGACGTCTTATAATAACCGCAACTTAAATATTTTAAATCCAATAATGTCTAATTCATTGTTGAAATATTATGTTTCAATTGCTATACAAATGTACGCGAGATTACAACGTGACTACAAGCTATTCTGTGATTACTAGGTACCAGCGGCTTTTTGCAAACATGTCGAAGCTGTTTAATTATGTTAAAGATTTTTAAGGAATACCTATGAAGCACCCTGCTTAATTCTTTAACCAAAGCACATAGACAGTATGCTCTTTGAGAAAGTATGTAAAGAAATAAATTACATCCATATAACGGTCAAATTTATCTGATAATCCTGATGATAAGTAATTTTAATATATTTATTACTCTAACTCAGGTTCTCTGAAGAGAGCCCGTAAACCTCTGAAGAATGTAAAAACTCGAATATGAAATGGTATTCACCGAAACTTTGCTGTTCTGTACATTCTTTAAAGAAAGTATATGCATCCTAAGAATAAGAGCATACTGTAAATGAGTGGATTTTATCGCTGATGGATGTTTTTCGTTAATTTAAAATGTAGTTCGAGTAGGTTATTTAATTAGTTACTGCCCAATTGTTACATAAATAAATAAAAAAGGTTGACTCTATAATTGTGTGTGTTTTTTAATTCCTATCTAAATGCACAATGCATGAGATTGCGGCATATTATTAGCTAACAGAAGGAACACCAGTAAACATTTTTCTTAGTTTTAAGTATTTAAAATTTAAGCAAAATTTTCGCATTTTATAAAAACAATAAACTTTTCAAGGATTGTTGGTCATTATTTCATATACAGGTTGTCCCGTAAGTATGTGTAAAATAACACTAGTTAGTGTTTTTGTTTTTTAAGATCATCGGTAAGAGAGATATCGGGCTTTGAAGATGGAAGAAAAATAGAATTAACTTTTTCAGCTGTAAGTATTGACCCACTTTATATATTGTGATCGTTTTGTAGCACAAAGTTTAATCAAAAAGATCTATTTTTAAAACCAGACTAAGGTTCGATTTTTAGCAGAAAGACTGATTTATTTATTTTATAAATTATCATTATTTTCGGCTGCGATTATCATTAGTCATTATTAATTATATTATTATTGATTTATTTTCTTTTGAAAAAATGTATTTAAGTATGTAGATACAAATAGCTATTTGTTCTTTTTCTTTCGATAAATAAAATTTCTCTTTCGATAAATTATTTTTTTTTAGATACATGGATATTTACTTAGACTGTTTAAAATACAAAGATGATTTAAAAAATCTGTTGGATCACAGCTGGAAATAAT